TTTTTTTACATACTGTCACCAGTGCAGTACAGCATCATCATATAACTGGCATGGCGGTGATCAGGGACACTGACTGGTGACAGTAAGAAAAAAAAATATATAATTTTTTTTTTTAATTTTTTTAAATTTTTTCTTTATTACTTTTAATTACATTTTTTTCTTTTTTTTTAAGATTTTTTCTTCATATTTCACTATGTCCAAAGTAGTACAATGTTACCATATTAACATTGTACTACTTTGGGGAAGTGATCAGTATTTTTTTTTTTTTTTTTACACAATTTGCTTATAGCATAGAATTACTTTGCTATAAGCAAGCATTTACCTGAATGACATCAATTCATTCAGGGTTGTTTTTTTTTTTTGTGCTTAGCTGTGATTTGGCCACGGCTAATCACATGACACAGCTGGGCTGTGATTGGCCCAGCTTGTGCATGTGATCGCTGTGACCATTCACAGCTAGAAACACTAGTATACAATGGATTAGGCATGAATGAAGCCATCCATTGTATACAACTGTCATGTGACCTGCTGCGATTGGTCACAGCAGGTCACATGGTACCGGCAACAGGGCCGGTACTCAGATCTGTCATCGGCCGTGTCCGAGGTACACGGCCGGTGACAGATCTCGCCGCTGCGTGGCTCTTCAGGCACGCAAACTGCGCATGCTCGGGAGGACGCCATATGGCGTCCACCCGGAACGCTGAGGGATTTTGCCGGCCACCAAACAGCCATTGGCCGGGCAGCAAGAGGTTAAGAACAATATAAATACTGGGAGCTCCCATTTCGGGGACCCAAGCCAATGTAATGAGGCTGATTCACACTATCTGTGTCTCTACCTTATGGGCCATTGCCCTCCATTGGAAGTCACCGGTGGTACCTTTAGCATCTGTGTGCAGAGAATCGATATGGCAATGCTCATGGAACATATTCAATATACATTGCTAGATAGGATGCACATCTTAACAGAAAATGGGATGGTTGGAAAACACATCGGCATTTATTGTTCGACTGAAAGACTATCATAGATTGATTGGTATTGAATTTTTGTTGGTTTTGTGGTTGTTCTGCATATCTTACTGCCTACTTCATTCATGTACTTGAACTTTATTTTTCTATGTTTGTGTTTTATAATACTTTTTATTATTTATGTGCCTTTTTCTTGATGTATACTATACCTCATGAAGTTGTGCTTTTCTTGCAGTCTATCCCTTAATAAAAACGTTTGTAAACAAAAAAAGGACAGTATAAAATGCACTCACGTGCAATCAGTATGAGATAGGCACATCTTGAGTCTAGTATGATTCGGGGCCAAATATTCGCCTGTGCTGTGGGTTAAAACTGCCCTTGTTCAAAGTCCGCAGCCGGCCAGGAGATGTGGAGGGACTGGAGTGGGCTGAGGTACACATGGAGTGCAGGTGGAGAGCAGCGCTTGGCGTGTCGTCGTCACCGGATATGATGCTACAGCGTTTCAGAGCATGCACACCGGGGGAGTGGGCACGCTCCTTTGTCAAGTTTGTAAAGTTAAACTTAACCACTTGCACTCCAGAGGATTTACCCCCCTTCCTGACCAGGCCATTTTTTGTGATAGGGCGCTGTGTTATTTTAACTGACAATTGTGCGGTCATGCAACACTGCACCAAAATGAAATTTATGTTCTTTTTTTCCCCAAAAATGGAGCTTTCTTTCAGTGGTATTTGATCACGTCTGCAGTTTTTAGTTTTTGCGCTATAAACAAAAAAAGACCAACAATCTTGGAAAAAAACTATATTTTTGACTGCTTGCTATAAAACAGTAAAAAAATTTTAAAAATCAAATTTCATCACACATTTAGGCCAAAATATATTCTGCTACGTCTTTGCTAAAAAAAAATCCCAATACATGTAAATTAATTGGTTTACATGAAAGTTATAGCATCTATAAATGGCGGTACATATACTGGAATTTGTATTTATTTTTTAACGCTAGTAATGGCGGCAATCAACAACTTGTATCAGGACTGCAGTGGGCATTCTGACACTGGGGGGGGGACTAACTGCCACTGACATCCCCAGTGACACTAATACAGTGATCAGTGCTAATAAAAAGCACTGACACTGTACTAATGACATTGGGCAGGAAGGGGTTGACATCTGGGACGATCAAAGGGTTAACTGTGTGCTTTACTGTGTAAGCACGCTGCTTTGTATTGCTGTATACAGAGCAATACAAAGCAGGGTGCTGGAGCTGATGGGGGAGATCTGTATTGTTTACATACAGACTTCTCCCCCATCAGTGATAGTTGGCGATCGCTGGGGAATCTCCGGCTTGGACCCAGTGACTGACAGCTGTAGCCGCCAATGGCAGCGTGGCTAGGGCGCATGTGCCCCCTACCCAGAAATAAAAAAAATCTCACACACACACACACACACACATATATATATATATATATATATATATATATACACACACACAGTGGATATAAAAAGTCTACACACCCCTATTAAAATGTCAGGTTTCTGTGATGTAAAAAAAATGAGACGAAGATAAATAATTTCCACCTTTAATGTGACCTATAAACTGTACAACTCAGTTGAACAACAAACTGAAATCTTTTAGGTGGAGGGAAGTAAAAATAAAAAACTAAAATAATATGGTTGCCCTTACACTAATACTTTGTTGAAGCACCTTTTGATTTGATTCCAGCACTCAGTCTTTTTGGGGATGAGTCTATCAGCATGGCACATCTTGACTTGGCAATATTTGCCCACTCTTCCTTGCAGAAACACTCCAAATCTGTCAGGTTTCGATGACATATCCTGTGCACAGCCCTTTTCAGATCACCCCACAGATTTCCAATCAGATTCAGATCTGGGCTCTGGCTGGGCCATTCCAAAACTTTAATCTTCTTCTGGTGAAGCCATTCCTTTGTTGATTTGGATGTATGCTTTGGGTCATTGTCATGCTGAAAGATGAAGTTCCTCTTCATGTTCAGCTTTCTAGCAGAAGCCTGAAGGTTTTGTGCAATATTGACTGGTATTTGGAACTGTTCATAATTTCCTCTACCTTGACTAAAGCCCCAGTTCCAGCAGAAGAAAAACAGCCCCAAAGCATGCTGCTGCCACCACCATGCTTCACCATAGGTATGGTGTTCTTTTAGTGATGTGTTGTGTTGTTTTTGCATCTTTTGGAATTATGGCCAAAAAGTTCAGCCTTGGTTTCATCAGACCAGAACACATTTTCCCACATGCTTTTGGGAGACTTCAGATGTGTTTTTGCAAACTTTAGCTGGGCTTGGATGTTTTTCTTCAGAAGAAAAGGCTTCCATCTTGCCACTCTACCCCATAACCCAGAGATATGAAGAATACGGGAGATTGTTGTCACATGTACCACACAGCCAGTACTTGCCAGATATTCCTGCAGCTCCTATAATGTTGCTGTAGGCCTCTTGGCAGCCTCCCAGACCGGATTTCTTCTCGTCTTTTCATCAATTTTGGAGGGAGGTCCAGTTCTTGGTAATGTCACTGTTGTACCATATTTTCTCCACTTGATGGTGACCGTCTTCGCTGTGTTCCATGGTATATCTAATGCCTTGGAAATTCTTTTGTACCCTTCTCCTGACTGATACCTTTTCACAATGAGATCCCTCTGATGCTTTGGAAGCTCTCTGTGGACCATGGCTTTTGCTGTAGGATGCGACTAAGAAAATGTCAGGAACGACCTATTAGAACAGCTGAACTTTATTTGGGGTTAATCAGAGGCACTTTAAATGATGGCAGGTATGTACTTACTCCTATTTAACATGATTTTGAATGTGATTGCATAATTCTGAACACAGCTACATCCCCAGTTATAAGAGGGTGTGCACACTTATGCAACCACATTATTTTAGTTTTTAAAGTTTACTTCCCCCCCTAAAATATTTTGTTTTGTTTTTCAATTGAGTTTTACAGTTTCTAGGTCGCATTAAAGGTGGAAAAAGTTCTTAAATGATTTATCTTTGTCTCATTTTTTTACATCACAGAAATCTGACATTTTAACAGGGGTGTGTAGAATTTTTATATCCACTGTATATGATTTTGTGCAGCCCTGCTGTATTTGTGCTATAGGTTGGCGGGGAATCGGTTAAAGTGGTTGTAAACCCTTCCATATACCCAGTGAAGTGACTGGCCTTAGGTGATACACAGAAATTAAATAAATCCTTCTACATATGTTGTACCTGTTTATCTGTTATCTTCTCTTCTCTACAGCTGTTCAAAGTACAGAATTTGTACAGTTTATCTTAGCTTTCAGAGAGCATAGGGTCAGGGAGCTAAAGTTACACTCTGCAGAGCTGAGTGAGAGCAGATTGGAGGAAAAGGACACCCCCCCCCTCCACAGAGCTCACAGGAACAGAGCTGAAGCTGTCAATCACAGGCTGTGTGCTGGAGCTCCCTCCCCTGTTGCCATTTTTTTCTTGGTGTCAGGAAAACTTGTCAGAAGTGATTCATGCTGATAGCAGGGGAATGAGGCAGCAGATAGAAATGACACTTGGTGCTCTGGGTTGAGACAAGTAGACACTATAGAGGGATATACTATGTTCATATTTCAAGTCTGAGGTTTACAACTACTTTAATGAATACAGTATTCAAAAAATACAACAGCAGGGTATAAAGACAGTAGTGTATATATGGGTCCTCTACATCCCGAGGAAGATCTGGTCTGGAATGAAATGTGTCAGTATAGTTGATCTCCTGGTTTATGACTCTGCCACATGGTTATGTGAGTGGTTTAAAACTGCTTTCCAACAATTATTATACAGGATTTATATAGCACCAACAGTTTGCATAGCGCTTTAAAACATAAGGGCAGACAGTACAATTACAATACATTTCAATACAGGAGGAATCAGAGGGTCCTACTCGTTAGAGCTTACAATCTCTACCCCTCAGCTCACCCCATCAGTTTCCTCACGTATCACTGATTTACTAACAGACATATCAGACTGGATGTCACACAACTTCCTAAAACTCAATCTATCCAAAACTGAGCTCCTAATATTTCCTCCCCCACGTGCCTCTTCCCCTTATTTCTCGATCAGGATCAATAGCACAATTATAAACCCATCCCTGCATGCCAGGGTGCTGGTGTGATCCTGGACTCTGAACTCTCCTTTTAGGCCCACATCCAATCCCTGTCCAAATCATGCCACCTCAACCTCCGCAACATCTCCAGAATATGCCCCTTCCTAACCAATGACGCCACAAAGCTTCTAATTCACTCCCAGGTAATTTTTTCCTCGACTACTGCAACTCCCTCCTCATTGGCTTACCTTTACATAGGCTATCCCCCTTCCAATCCATCATGAATGCTGCTGCCAGGCTCATCCACCTTACCAACCCTTCAGTGTCCTCCACCCCTCTCTGCCAATCCCTCCATTGGCCTCCATTCAGTGTCCTCCACCCCTATGCCAATCCCTCCATTGGCCCCCATTCAGTGTCCTCCACCCCACTCTGCCAATCCCTCCATTGGCCTCCATTCAGTGTCCTCCACCCCTCTCTGCCAATCCCTCCACTGGCCTCCATTCAGTGTCCTCCACCCCTCTCTGCCAATCCCTCCACTGGCCTCCATTCAGTGTCCTCCACCCCTCTCTGCCAAACCCTCCACTGGCCTCCATTCAGTGTCCTCCACCCTCTCTGCCAATCCCTCCACTGGCCTCCATTCAGTGTCCTCCACCCCTCTCTGCCAATCCCTCCACTGGCTTCCACTCGCCCAATGAATAAAGTTCAAAATACTAACAACTTACAAGTCATCCATAACTTTGCCCCCAGCTACATCACCAACCTGGTCTCAAAATATCAACAAAACCACTCTCTTTGGTCCTCTCAAGACTTTCTGCTCTCTAGTTCCCGTATCACCTCCTTCCATGCTCGCTTCCAGGACTTCTCTCGAGCTTCTCCCATCCTATGGAACTCCCTACCCCAATCTGTCAGACTATCTCCTAATCTATCCATCTTTAGGTGATCCCTGAAAACCGTTCTCTTTAAAGAAGTCTATCCTGCTTCTAACTAGTAAACTGCCTTAAATTTCCTCCATCAGCTCATCCCCCCCACAGCTATTACCTTTTTTATCACTCAACCCTTCCTCCTAGATTATAAACTCCAATGAGCAGGGCCCTCTGTTTCCTCTTATACCAAATTGTATTGTAACTGTAATGTCTACCTTCATTTTGTAAAGCGCTGTGCAAACTGTTGGTGGTGTATAAATCCTGTATAATAATAATCTAAAAGTAAGGGTCAAGTGATACAAAAGGTAATAACTGTGGGGGATGAGCTGATGGAGAAAATAAAAGTACAGTTGTTAGGTGGAGGTAGAATAGGTTTCTCTAAAGAGAAAAGGTTTCAGGGATCGCCTAAAGGTGGACAGAGTAGGAGACAGTCTGACAGATTGGGGCAGAGAGTTACATAGGATGGGAGAAAGCACAGGAGAAGTCCTGGAGACAAGTATGGGAGGAGGTGATAAGGAAACTAGAGAGCAAGTGGTCTTGGGAGGATCGGAGAGAACGATTAGGTTGGTATTTTGATACTCAGTTAGTGATGTAGTTTGGGGCCAAGTTGTGGATGGCTTTGTAAGTTATTGTTAGAATTTATATCGTTGGGTGAGTGGCAGCCAGTGGAGGGATTGGCAGAGAGGGAATCCACTAACCCACTGTAAACCTGCCATGGGAAGATCCTGGATATAGAAAGATCTTCTGTCATACCTGGATATAGAAAGATCTTCTGTCATGGGATCCTGGATAGAAAGATCTTCTGTCATGGGAAGATCCTGGATATAGAAAGATCTTCTGTCATGGGAAGATCCTGGATATAGAAAGATCTTCTGTCATGGGAAGATCCTGGATATAGAAAGATCTTCTGTCATGGGAAGATCCTGGATATAGAAAGATCTTCTGTCATGGGAAGATCCTGGATATAGAAAGATCTTCTGTCATGGGAAGATCCTGGATATAGAAAGATCTTCTGTCATGGGAAGATCCTGGATATAGAAAGATCTTCTGTCATGGGAAGATCCTGGATATAGAAAGACCTTCTGTCATGGGAAGATCCTGGATATAGAGAAGACCTTCTGTCATGGGAAGATCCTGGATATAGAAAGATCTTCTGTCATGAAGATCCTTCTTCTGTCATGGGAAGATCCTGGATATAGAATGAATCTTCTGTCATGGGAAGATCCTGGATATAGAATGACCTTCTGTCATGGGAAGATCCTGGATATAGAAAGATCTTCTGTCATGGGAAGATCCTGATATAGAAAGATCTTCTGTCACGGGAAGATCCTGGATATAGAATAATCTTCTGTCATGGGAGGATCCTGGATATAGAATGACCTTCAATCAAGGGAAAGATCCTGGATATAGAATGACGATCTTCTGTCATGGGATCCTAGATATAGAATCCTGGTCACACGGGAAGATCCTGAAAGAATCTTCTGTCATGGGAAAATCCTGGATATAGAAAGATCTTCTGTCATGGGAAAATCCTGGATATAGAAAGATCTTCTGTCATGGGAAGATCCTGGATATAGAATGACCTTCTGTCATGAGAAGATCCTGGATATAGAATGACCTTCTGTCATGGGAAGATCCTGAATATAGAAAGATCTTCTGTCATGGGAAGAGAGAAATAAAATTTTTGCCTGCACAAGGATTTATTAGCAATGGCATGTCTACAAACACACAAGCAGGCAGCGCTTTTATCATGAATCTATGTGAATAAGAAATACATTTAGGCTTGGTTCACAACTGTGCGGGTGGTGCCGCTGAGGGGCACACACAAATGCCTGCAGCCGCACGTCCCACACAGAGAAATGCGGGACCTGCAGGCGGGTGCCATTGATTCTAATGGCACGCTGCCTGCACTGGAAATCGTAACCGTACTGGGAATCTCGGTTCTCGTGTAGGCTGCAATTTCTAAAGTAGTGCAGGAACGTCTTCCCTGCGTGTCCTGGGGCACGGGAGTCCATTCAAAATGAATGGGCTCTCGTGCCTGCACAGATGTGAACCATGGCTTAATGCGGACAGGCAACTATGTTAGGCTTGTTTCACACAGGCAGCAATGCTATACCACTCTGTGAAATGCAATTAGTGGTGGATCACTCTTCAGAGAGCAGAATAGCAGTGGCTGGCAGGCATTCAGGAGGCACTTTTTTCAATCCCAAAGAGGATTTTAAAGTAAACAATTACACCAAACTGCGAGCCGAGTGTTTGGCTTGTGGCTTATTCCCATTGAACTCAATAGGTGAGTCTGACGGGTGGAGTCGCAGCATAGATAGAGCCCTGCTAGACTGTGATCTTAGTATTTGGGTGGGCGGCCAGGGGAGATATGACAACTCACAGCTCATTGACTTAAACCCAAAAACCCACAATTATAGTAAAAAAATCAAGACCCAAAGAGATTACCCAAATATAAAAAATATCAAATATATATAAATAGAACAAAAATAAAATAAAGTCCCAATAATATGCAAAGTGTCCAAACAAAGATCAATTTCTTGATAGGAAGACGCTTCCTACTCCACTGAAGAAGATGCAAATCAATCACAGGTGCTCTTCAAATACCTCAAAAAAAAAAATCTCAACATAGTATATTACCTTTTAAATCCCAGAACTAAAGTGCCACACGTGTATCATGCAAAAAAACACTCCAGTGTCACAGCACTCATGTGAAAAAAAAAAAATGTATAAATATCACTGCAAACTATATATAAAGTGCATAATTACCCTAAAACACACAGATTCCAGCTTGTAATCAACCACATATGTACAGAGTGTCCTTAGATTGGTATCCTCTTGTTCCTCAGGACCTCACAAACGGACCAGGAATCAGTATGTGAATTATAATCATATATAAAATTTATTGTAGCCACTTACATATAAAAACGATAAAATCAGCAAAACAGCATCCAACTCCTCATGCCCAGTATACGATCCCCTTTCCGTGTGTAGAGGGTCTCCCGATCACCAGGTAATTCCCCCTTGCTACTCCTATCCAGCACTATCACTTTGTAGCTCTGGGGGACACCTGAAGTGCACCGTTACTCTCCGTTACTGATCCTTGTTGACAAACAAAGTCCGGAAGAGACGAAACGCGTCCAGGGCACGTGACGTTCCCGGAAGTGCTGTGGCAGCCATTTTGGATTCTGGAATCCCTGTGTGTTGGAGGTCTGGAGAGTAACGGTGCACTTCAGGTGTCCCCCAGAGCTACAAAGTGATAGTGCTGGATAGGAGTAGCAAGGGGGAATTACCTGGTGATCGGGAGACCCTCTACACACGGAAAGGGGATCGTATACTGGGCATGAGGAGTTGGATGCTGTTTTTGCTGATTTTATCATTTTTATATGTAAGTGGCTACAATAAATTTTATATATGATTATAATTCACATACTGATTCCTGGTCTGTTTGTGAGGTCCTGAGGAACAAGAGGACACCAATCGAAGGACACTCTGTACATATGTGGTTGATTACAAGCTGGAATCTGTTTGCTTTAGGGTAATTATGCATTTTATATATAGTTTACAGTGATATTTATAAATTTTTTTTTTTTTTTTTTTCATGAGTGCTGTGACACTGGAGTGTTTTTTTTTTGCATGATACACGTGTGGCACTTTAGTTCTGGGATTTAAAAGGTAATATACTATGTTGAGAATTTGTTTTTTGAGGTATTTGAAGAGCACCTGTGATTGATTTGCATCTTCTTCGGGGAGTAGGAAGCGTCTTCCTATCAAGAAATTGATCTTTGTTTGGACACATTATTTGGACACTTTGCATATTGGGACTTTATTTTAGTTCTTTTATATATATTTGATATTTTTTATTTTTGGGTAATCTCTTTGGGTCTTGATTTTTTCACTATAATTGTGGGTTTTTGGGTTTAAGTCAATGAATATATGCTTTATTAGTACTTCAGGGGAAGGATATTGATATGACTTTAAGGGATTTCTGAGGATTTTATATATATACGTGTGCTGATTTATTATTCAACTCACAGCTCAGTCGCCTGTTTTCACTGACTGGATAAGGTGGAGAGGCGGGGCAGTGGCGGCTCGCTCTCCACTTCATCCACTATTGGGGCACATTCACATGGATTGCGGTAAGGGATTTTCTGAATGTTGCTGGTGGAGAAACTCCGTCCATGTACAGCTGTGACCCAGTCCGGTTTGTAGCCGGTATTTACTATCAGAATAGTAACTGATCACCATCTATCTTCAGATCATTCAGTTAAGCTTTGAAAATGAAAGCTAGAAGCTGATTGGTTGCCATGCACAGCTGCTCCAGTCTTAGTGAATCCCCCCCATGTGTAGATGCAGTCATGTGCACTGATCCCACAGCCACTGTCAGCAGTTCAGAATAGCTGCCACTAGGGGGGTCTATCCACCCACTGCCCACCTATTTCAAATCACCTATCACACCATCTTTGTTATGGGCAACCGGAGAGGCACACCAGAGAAGTCCTTTCGTTGGCCGCCAACTGCATCATACGATTTCTCAGAAACCCGAGGAAAGTGAACTCCGCTAACGATCGGAATAACATTATTTCTTGCATGTATTATGCCTGTATAAATTGATCATTTTGCCCATAACAAACATGGCAGCCGCAGCAT